CAGTAGCTCAGAGGTAGTAGCCATGTACCATATGTTGCTTTGGTTGCTCTGGTGATTATATAGTTTCTTCAGATTAAACAAACCTGAACTTTTTAGCTACATCGTTACCTACCAATAACATGAGCTTGTATCAGCTCTTCTTGATGTGACTTTAAAAAGCATTATTCGTTTTGCAAAAAAGAAAATGGCTTGTAATTTCCTCCTCTCAGTTCCTATTTTTTCCTCTCATTTATCTGTCTTAAGTATGTATTTGTACCAAACCATCGTTCTTTAAACAAAGCACAAATCTTTTCACACTCTGAGTCTTATTTCAAGGAAGTAGCCAGTAAGTTACGGACTTAGGACTTCTAAAATGTCTCAGCTGTTTCTTTAGTGAAATCAAGCAAACTTCTAATGCATTTGGCGCAATCATCTAATCCCCAATACAGCAGAATTCCCACTTGAATCTGAGTTAAATTGTCTGTTGAATGAACACCAGAACCTCAGCCACTGACAACCTCCTTTTCCAGGGTTAAGTGAACCAAATGCTTATTAAGAAAAACTGATAAAACCAAGTGACTGCTCTATCATTTTTCCTTATGACACAGAGATTTCAAGAGAAGAAAGGCTACAGACACCTGGCAGACAGAACAGAGGGAGTAAGGAAGGGGTTATCTAATGACTCTCAGGTATAGATTCAATTTAGCTGCTTTAAGAAGCTTGTCATATGAGATTAGAATTAATTTTGTTTTTCAAAGAGCTGTTTGCAATGGAAAGGTTCATTTGAGGCAGATGCCAAATCCTGCTGCCTATGGAAGGAGTGATACACATAGAATGGAGCAGTATTTACCCCACAAACAATATACACCTGGGGAAGGGATGCAAATGCTCAGCTGAGTCTTACACTTGGTATGCCTTCAGTGATGAATGTACAGACACCAGTGCCTGTCTCATTCTCTTCATTGCAGTTTATGACATTTTATAAACCCATGGGAAATATGGTTTGCTTTAATAGCTATTCAAACTCTTCTTCCCCCTTGTCTCCCTCCTCCCAACAAAATCCTCTGAAATCATAAACTAGAAATGCAAACAGGAGAAGGGAAAGCAAGCAACATTAATACTAAAGGTTTGGAACAGCTGCACCTTCTTTTGAGATTTGTTCACATACACCACTGACAATCTGCAATGTATGCTTCTCATTAAAAAATAAATATAAAGGATTTAGTTGCTCTAAGACAGTAAATACAAAGGATTTAAAGACCTTAGTAGTGTGGTGATTGCTCTTCCTCTGAAAATCTGCATAGCAGACTGCCTTCAACTGCCTGTCTGAGAATGAGAGCAGCACACATCCAGCCCTGAGATTAGCTTTTTGAGGGGGACTGAAAAAACAGGGAGTGAAAAGTTCCCCAGGGCACACGCAAGCGAAAATTTGATTTTTTCTTTTATCTCGGAAAATGTTAGAAGTGTTCGCCAAAATGATTTTTTCACTATCTGCTCTAGGTCAGCAAGGTCCTTAGGACAGTGATCTGAGAGGGATGGAGCAGGAATTTACTGCCTGGCGATCCAGCAGGGGGAAATTAGGTTATGGGGCATGTGGGCTCTTCTTCATATTTCATGAAAATATGCAAGACTCCCAGGTTTGTCCCACTGACTAATCAAAAACTACGGAAAGATAGGAAAAATGTTTCCCATCCAGCTCTATAGGCAAAGACACCTCCAAAGGAAAAGAAAACCCTGGTTTCTGTTTGACTTAAGTCCTGTGCAAAATCATGATTCAGAAGGTTTTAACAGTACAAAGGTTTATTTAGAAAAGTGTTTGGATTGTTCTTTAGGGTTTTTTTGGCAAACATTTAAATCCTTTCATAACTCAAAACACTGTCTATGCCTGGTACTGTGCACTTTCCTTCCCCATACAAGCAATAAAAGCCAATTTCTTACTGGGACAAACCCACCACAGGCCCCAGCTGCTCTATTTATAAATATTCAAATCTCTGCCACCGCTGCCACTTAACCCTTTCCTCTTGATGTCTTTTTGCTTCTCCACAAAATTCCAGAGCCCATAAAATCTCACTGCCTCCCAAACCCCGTGTCTTAGCCTGTTTTCCTCTGCGGGCTCCCCATCCCCTCCCCATCAGGGTTCAAAGACAATCACTCCCCTCTCCATTTACCCATCCACACTCCAGCACTGCTCCTCCAGCACCATGTCACCATTCTGCACCACAGTGATTGCCCTCAGCCTCTCTGACACCGTCCCCACATCCCGCAGCATTCACTCCGCTCCACTGAGGGGGCAAGCCCTCTTCCTTCTCCCTAAGCCCAAGCCCCATGTTCTCTTCCCTCCCTTCTTTTCCAGCACAGAGCCTTCTCTTTTAACTCTACTCCTGCTCAAGGCAAATCCATCCCTCCAGCTCAATGCCGGAAGTTCTTCTTCTTCTTCTTAAAAAGAATGTGTTTAAAGGACCTGCGGAAGTCCTGGTTGAAGATGGTATAGATGACTGGGTTGAGGGAGCTATTGCAATACCCAATCCAGAAGAAGAACTTGAAGAGAGTCTCGGGGACCTCACATGCCTCCCGGCAAATACCATAGAGGCTGTAGCTGAAGAAGAAAGGGAACCAACAAACTACAAAGACCCCCATGACCACAGCCAGCACAAAAGTGAAGCGTTTCTCCCGGGCCTGGGCAACTTTCTTACGGCAGATGCTGCTACGCTTCCGGCGACGGCGATATGAGAAAAACTGCATGGAGCGATTGCTGGCGCGGGACAGACGGCTACTAGAGTGCTTGGAGGAGTATGAGTAGGAGAAGGACTGGCTCTTGCTGCTTTTGCGGGGATGCTCCTCCCGGCTCCGCCTCCGCCTGCTCTCTGAGGTGCTGCTCTCCTCCAGCTCAATGTCCTCCAGCTCAGAGGCTTTGCGCCAGTGGTGCACCGAATAATGTCCATTCTCTCCCAGCTGCATCCTCAGGGACGTGCAGCCGGCAGCAGCACGGCTCAAGCCATTCTCAGTCTGGGAGGACCCCTCCGGCATCGTACGCTTCTCAGAGAGGGTCCTGGTCCTTAGCTTGGCCACGCGGTAGATGCGGATATAGACCAACACCATGATGAGGCAGGGGGCAAAGAAAGAGCCAATGCAAGAAGAAAGGATGTACCATGTCTCGTCATTGAGCTTGCACTGGGGAAAGACATCTCCTTCGGGGTCCCGGTACACGGAGATCAATGGCGGGAAGGAGATGATGGCTGAAATGAGCCAGACGGTGAGGATGATGGCCTTGATCCGCCGGGGTGTCCGTTTGAGGTTGTCCTCCACCGCCTGTGTGACCGACCAATACCTGTCGAGGCTGATGGCACACAGGTGGACAATGGACGAGGTACAGAAGAGCACATCCAGCGCCAGGTAAATGTTACACCAAGCCTTGCCAAAGTACCAATAATTCATAAGCTCGTTTGCTAAGGAAAAAGGCATGACCAAAGTAGCCACCAGGATGTCCGCGCTGGCCAGGGACACCAAGAAGAGATTCTGAGGAGCTCTCAGCGCCCGGCTGGTGAGCACAGCTATGACGACCAGCACATTCCCCACGATGGTG